ACCATTTTTAGGTGAAGACTTTAAATTTCTTTGTAAACTAGAGCGGAGATTTTTTTGTTACTTTGGCTGGGTCCACCCTACAGCTATGTCTATTCGTCACCCATCTTTAGATGAGAAATAGGTGTGTTTCTTATGATGCTAGCTGCAGTTTTCCTCTAGCTATCAACTGTGTTTCTCAGTAGTGTTTTAATCTGATGCTTATTTCCTTACAGGTTAGCTATTTGAGCCCACCATTATATGATCTCTCCTTCACCTTTCACTGAAAATAGCATCTGCGAGTGCTATCATATTAGCTGAAAGTGGGGGGGGGGGAGTGAAGACCAAGCATTCTTTAAAAGTCTTTTTCTTCCTCATACTCTTTTTCCAGGAAGAAGGGGTGTAGCACAGCTAACCTCATTTAAGAACTTAGTTTGCCTGAGTTCTCAGACATGGTATCTCCAGGTCTTCATATGCTGATTTTTGTGCACTATCTTTTTTTAATTACGTGGACGAGATTCTAGGTAAATCCCTAATCTTTTAGGTAGAAAGAGTAAGGAATATGGTTGTTTTAACAAAAGGCTGTCAACCTGGACATGGGTTTAAAGCATGTAATGAGTGTATGCTATGGAGATGTATCTACAGCTGTATCTTCTGCCACAGAAAAGCACCTGTAATAGCTTTTCTAGGGAATGCCCCATTCTTGAGATCTGCACAATGGATACATGAAGTTCTCTGCATTCCTTGGAAGAGTATCTTGAATTTGCTATCTTCCTAGAGCTTCCAATAGTCCTTCTCATGCAACCTGTGAGCGTCGGGAGGTAATGTTCATAGTGGCCTACGTTTTAAAAGTGGGCAAACACTCCAGAGTAGTTCATTACCAGTAGAAGGAAGTTCTTCCAAACTAATACACATCTGGCTAATGTATTGTTTGGTTTTCTGCCCTGGTATCTTAGTCCGTGGGTTATGTGTTGTGCTCTACCTGATATGCTGTGGTAGCATGTTCCAAAGGAGCACAAGAGGAGGGTACAGTGTGAATGTGACCTAAGGATACTGTTATGCTAAAGTATTTTCAGGAAGTTTTGATTATTTAGTTGTAAGTTGAATGTGTATACACACCCTGCACATGGAAGAACTCCTAAGTGACTTTTCTAAGGTAGGTGTCAGTCTACTGTGAGCGTTTTCTTCTGACAAAATAGTGGTTAGTTGTATACGTCAGCAGGAATTTTAGTGCCTTAATGCTACAATCCCAATTGTTAGAGCACTGTGGCCAGGCTCTAGAGCCAGTCAATGCATTTAATATTTCTTACCTAAAACTTAATTGCTTTCCAGAGTCCAGTAGATAAACCAGTGGAAGATAAAGCTTGAATACCCTTTGAAAATTTTGGGGTTTTCGTATGACCTACAAAAAGTTTTTCCTCCATGGAATGCATGGAAATTCAGTATTTTTCTTATCTGAAAATTGCTTTGCTTTTGATGTTGCAATATTTAGATGCTTCACACACATTAATAGTAGTTGAGTATCAGAGTTGATTTGAGTCATGAGGCAGAGTGGTGTGAAATTAATTATCTGTTGTTTTCTATTTGTAATCTGAACTAAAACAGGATGAAATCAGAACATGTCAAAATAACATTTGTTGCTTTATTAAAAGGATTACAATATTACAGGGGTAATCTAATATATTAAAAACCCTACTTTCAGTTATATACAACACATGCTACATCACACATCAGTTTAATGCACATCATACTGTTGTAAAGAAGTAATGAGGTAATAAGGGAAAAAGTGTGCAAGCACACGCGCACAAACAGACAGTAAGTATCTTACAGGCTTACTGAAAAATAGATTGAACTTCTAGAGGCTTCTGCTCTCCCTCTTACATGCATTCTTTAACTTACATTTTTCGTAGTAGTTGCTGTTTTGAAATGGGTGGTACAACAATCTGTTCTAGAAACCTAACTCAGAAGAATATTAGAATTATCCCAGTCTGTATTTTATAGTTGTGACTGACCTCTAAATATAGATGAGTAAATCTATTTAATAATTTGACAGTAATATGTTGTAATTGTGAAAATGGTAAATATAACTTCTCTTGGCTACAGGTAACTTCTTTCTATAATTTTCATCTACTGGGTAAGGATATTAAACAGCTTATATACTGGTATCCATCATTTGCCTGCAAAGTTGGATAGTCCCTTTAATTTATACACAGCCATTTCAGATTACAGAGGCTACACAGCAGATAATGACTGAAGTCAGGTACAAAATACTGTGACGGTTGTGTAGTATAACATGTTGGCTATACAGCATGTTATATCTGTTGTAAATATGGATTAATTTCCATATGCAGGTAGCCACTTCATTTTGATAAGAAAAATCTTTAGTGTTTTTAATCTAAAATATTTTAATCAAATGTGAATTCTCATTTATAGGAGCAGATTATTAAAATGCTCAAAGTGAAGGGGAAAGACTGGATTTATCATGACAGTAACGGTTGGAGTATCTGCTCTCAAAATCAAATTATATAGTATTAACTTTATTCATGGCAGTTAACAAAGATTAAATCAGAATAATCACACTAATGTACATATACCAGCTACACAGTTCAAAGGATATGATTTCCTGTGTCAAATGATTGCTAATAATAATAATAATAATAACAATAATAATAATAATTACTCTTGCTGTACAGTTTGTAATATTTCCTGTATTGGAGAATATTTATACATAATATAACATACAAAAATATTTAAATGTTGTGGCAGTATTTTTAGCATCCAAACTTCATTTACAGGCGATAAAAACCAGAAAGTTTATCTACAGTCCATCTAAACTGCCAGTTCTAAAAGGCTTAATATAACTACTTTTAGTGCCAAGAGGAGTTCTGAATGCTATGTCATTTCAGTTCCTTTTTTCTTCAGCTTTTTTTCCTGGAGTGATTCTTGAAAATACAATATACAAGCCCTCACATCTTAGCAATAAATGTACAATATCTTACATTCCTCGCTTCTGAAAAGATAATTCCAGGAAATAACATTATAGCTTTATGTGATTTTTAAAACAAGAAAGCAAACCAAAAGAAGAATTATTTCAGTGGAATGTGTTGGGATTGGGTCTTATCATCATAACAACTTTCTTCAGTGAATATGATCCCCCACGGAATTCAGCCCAGTAAACACCATCCTGATACCGACTGCGGTAGTGCCCTCCGCGATACCAAACTCCATTGAGATTTGAATGAGCACATGCATTGTACCACCATCCTCCCTTCTGGTAATGAGCACAGTTACCTGCAAAAGAAAGCTCTGATTCAGTCTTAGGAGTAGATGAAAAATCTTGCAGCAAGCTAGCAATGTAAGCGCAAACCAATTTATTTTATTTTAATTTTTTTTAACTGTGTGTTTTAACATGTAGATGCCATGTGGTACAAGGTGCATTTAGGCTTCTTCAGGAACCAGCTCTGCAGTTAGGTTCTATGGATAGACTCATTAGTGTTACTCTCCCTTGCTGGAAAATTTCGTTTGTGTTACTGTCTCAAATAACCCTCGCATAGCATATTTTACAGACCCTTGTTTAATGTAAATGATAAGTATTTCAATGAGAATTTTTGTTTCCGTGTTAGTACATGTAAAGGTTGACACATCAGTTTGTGCTTCATAAGTTACCAACTGACAGACCTCTGAAAATGTAATTTGTTTTTTTATGTGTGTGTATGACCATAAGTATTTTTCCTTTTTAAAAAGAGAAAAATAAAAAGCGGGGGGAGGGGCTAGGAGGGGCAAAAAAAAAGCAAGGCAACTGAAAGCGACCTTGTACCTGTGTATACATCATGGTCCCGGTCCAGTGTGGTGAACTGTTTACCATTGTGCCAAGTGAAAGAGTCTCCTGCATTGCCGTTGTAGCGTCCCAGTCTCAACTTGTAATACTCGCTTTCTGGCTCCAGCCTGAAGCTAGCATACTCAGCAAATACTTTTCGACCTGACCAGTCCTCCATTGTTATGAGCAGTTTGTAGTTGCCTTGATTTGTTAACCAATAAATATTTTCTAATCCGAGCCAGTATTCTCCATCTATATTACCAAAACCTTGCTGTAAAGGAAGCAAGAGAAGCCTGTTAATGTTGTGCATCTGTTCTAGTGGTAAATCTGGGGGTATTCTTAAGTGGAAAACTACAATAACTTATTTTATAGAGACTTCCTCTTCTAGAAGGTGAACACACAAGTTCCTGTTCAAATTGTTGGCCAGACTCTAAAATCACCCTTTAAATTAACTTTACCAATAATTTTTAGAGGGTAGAGCACATTAAACTGCTCACTTGTCCTAACCTTGTATGTCTCCCAGTTCCTGAAAAAGTTGACAGACCCATCGAGCCGTCTCTGAATGACTGTCCAGCCACCAGGATCATGCCGTTGATCGCACCAGACCTGCATAAGCTGGTTTGTGTTTTCTGGTTTTACAAGATAGATGGAGCTTGTATCATGGCCATCTTCTAATGCTTGTAGACAGTCTCTCCAGGGCCCTGTGTCAAAACAGAAGGACTCGGCATCAAAATGCAGTTGAGGTACCTTTAATGCAGGGCTGATCTGCATTGGTAACTTTTTACAGTAGATTTGCTTCTGCTGAATAGTGTGTTTGGTTTTCCTCTTAAAGACGGTACAGTGTCCACTAAGTGTTTTCAAACAGATTTCATTTGTGGTAACACTATTTCTGGAACATTTCTCAATGAATTACTGATAAAGGTGGGGGGGGGGTGTTTAAATTTATTTTAGTTAAGGCATCTGCACTTACAACTTTTATTATATCTTCAGAGAAACTAAATATGAATGACTCTAAAGATAAGTATTAATATTAATAATTTCCTTTAGAAAAGAAAAAGTTTTAAGTTTGACTTGTTTCTGTCTGAGAAATTCAGCTTTTATATCCCCAAAAATGTTGTTGGCATGCACATTAACTATGGAACTGGCAACATAAATTAAGAATAGAGGCACTACTGTCATCGCCTTAATAAAACAGAAATTAAGATTTGTAACATGGAGTGCTGCTTATATAGTGAGAGAAATTTTAGATAAATGAGAAGACTTTTAAAATACTTTGCATTCACAGAAATTACAGATAATGCTCTCCTGTTTTCAGAAGCAAAATGCATTTTTTTCCTTCAGTTTAGGAGAGTCCATAAAGAGCCTACTCTTTTTGAAAGTATCTTACATTCATGATTTTTAAAGACATTTTCTCCAAAGGGAAGATAGTTAGATTCTATTTTAATGAGTCTGAGAAATTTAGATATAAACGATTCAGGAGTCTGTGTTGATACCTGGAGATAGACTTCCCCGGCTGATTTGTTGCCTAAGCAGAAGTGAAGTCAAAAAGAATCCTCAGGATTAGAGATTAGAGACCCTTGATTGATCTGTTCCTTGCCCACCCCGCTGAAGGAGGAAGGCTCGTCAGATCTTCACAAGAGGATTCTTACTAAAGCAGATGTTGCTATCAAGAGTAATTTCTCTTAAATTATTTCAGTTCATCTACCTTTTTTTTTTTTCATAATTCATTGTCCAACACAATAATGGTAAAGCTATCCTTGTACTCAGAAAATGAGTTAGTAATAAATTACTTTTATAGAAACAGCCTCAATGTTCGGGGGTGGGATTTTTTTGGTCTTTAACTAGTTAATCAAAAAGTCAGTGTACCAAGAGGCAATCCAAGTTTTTGGTCTGTGGCCATGCTGTGTTGTTTTGGTTTCCTTAGTCATATTCAAAGACTGTACCTAGGGTGCTGCTTCTAAGCCCCTTCTCTGTTTCTGTTATGGCTAACTGTTAAGATTTCTGGCAGTTCGGATGTCGATGTAGTGTTCTGTGACGCAGTTGCATGGCTGGTTATGAGAGATGGAAGAAGACAAATGTAATGAATGCCGGTAATTTAAATAGCTTTTGTTTATTTTATCACAATATGTACGTAGTGACACTTACTAAAAACAAAGAACGTGTCAGTTCAAAGTCATTATTGACCTAAAATAGTCAACCACAGATCTTTGATCTTGTCTTCATAAAAATAAATATATAGCAGTATATGACGTAGTATTTACAGTTTTCTAATCTCGCAGTTTCTTTCTAGGCCATGTGGCAACAGTGCTACTCCATGATTCTTTTCTCTGAAAGTGCTTTGAGATGAACTATTATAAATACTTCAAAGCAGAGTTTGCTACTATTGTTCCATAACAGGTGGCTTTTTGTCAGATACGAACTGGCCAAAATTTTGACTAAGGTGTGTAGTCAGGGATTTGTCATCTGGCATCAGAAATGAAAGGGAACGTACTGAAGATGACTGGCCCCAGCACAGATCTCTCTAAGACTCCATGGTTGACTCTGCCTCGTGAAAAAAATACATGATAATTAAGCGATTTTTGTGGTTTGCTTATATGAGGCTCTTTCTCTGTACTTTCTAGCAGCTTAATTTAAACACCTTTAGTAGGAAACTGTTTAGTGCTCTCTGGAAATACATATGGACTGTTTATCAACCAGAACTCCATCTGCATAGGCACTGAGCCCTTCGAATATCTCTAAGTGATACAAAACTGGTATTACAAAAACCAAGTTGATTCTTATTTGAGGTGATTGGATGATAATACGTAATTCATATTTGTTTACTGCTTGTTTTTTGGGGTGGCAGGGTTTTTTTTTTGGAATGTCACATCTGCCGCCTTTCATTCCTCGCATGCTAAGGCAATTTTTGGTGAGAGACTATGCAGTAGTTACTAGTTTCATATTCAGTTTCCTTTAGAACTCTAGGGGAATGTGCTTTACTCTTTGCAGTTTGTTAGTATTCACTTCTTTCATTGGCTTTATAACCTCTTCTACCAACATTTCAGTTTGAGATAAATCCTGCAGAGTATCCTCTTTGACACTAACCTAGTCAACACAGGAACCTCAGTGTCCCCTTAGTGAATACTCATATCATATTAATTTAAATTTTCTACTGTTGCCTTAATTTCTCTATCTTTTTATCT